AATGCTTAATAGTAGATAATCTCATGCATATATGTAGCATTAGTCCCTACTTTTCTCCCTTATTTGTGGATCTACGCCTTAGTGCTTTTTTGATGGCCTCTACTGTAATAGGTATAACCTCTTGCTATCCGTGTAAGCAGCAAATCATCTCAGTAGGAGATTTGGTTCCATACATCTTTTTTTCTGATTACATATTCTGCAATAGAAGAAACACAAGCTCATGTACAACATGTTGCCATAAAATCATTTTATACAAAAAGCTCAGGTACACTAAAAATCAGACAAGAAATTAGAATTAGGAATTAAGAGTGTATTGCATAAATTCCACTCAGTCACCCAAACAAATTAGAAAAAACCTCACGTCTCAACAAAGGTCATCCGTACATATCTGACACATACATCCATAGGCTGCAATATTCAGCATGTAAATGTCAGTTCAGCCGAATTTTTATGATGGCTTATTTCTAGTCCATTTCAAACATAATAATTAAGTAGCCACTCTCAGTTGAGGACCTCAAATCTCAACTCGATGGAAGTTTAGCTTCCACTCTTGCCGATTTACAGCTTTCTTTCCCTTATAAAGTCAGATATGTGCTATTGGCTTCACACACTCCTGCATAAGCCTACTTTCTTTCATAAGTCAGCAACTTAAGTTATTCGTTGTGGTCCCAAAAATGGCTGCCAAGAAGTGCTCTCTTGCTGAAGGAAGTCAATGACTCAACTGACAGATGGAGAATTACAGTTCGTGTGATCAGGAGTTGGAATGTCTACAAGAAGGAGTCTCCTACTGAGGTTTTTTGTGTGTCCATGCTACTGATGGACGAAGAGGTTAGAATGCTTTATATCCCTTTACCTAAATAATTTTCCCTCTGTCAATATGCACACACTACTTACCTTATTTCCTTTTCTTGTGTTGGCAACAAATTGGGGACAAGAATCCAAGCTTCTATCATGAACAAAAACCTATTTGATCGTTTTAGTGCCATGGCAGTGGAAGGGATAACTTATTTTATGGCTAATTTCGTCGTCTCTCCAAATAATAAGGAGTACAGGGCAACAAACCATGCTTTCAAACTAACACTAGGTACTTACACATATGTGAAGGAAGTACTTGCCCAAATACCTGAATACTCTTATCATTTCTTCCCTATTCGTGACATAATTAAGATGAAGGAGAGCAACCATGTTGACTATCTTATTGGTAAGTGTAATATTAAGTTCAGGTTTTCCTCCTTTATGAGTTCGACTATTATTCCCCACTACTTAGTCATCCTGGTTTACTATTATATTCCTCTGTTAGATGTCATTGGATTCGTTGCATCAATTGGGCATCTAGAGGAGTACAAGTCTAACAATGAGATCAAGAACAAATTGCAATTGTTGCTGGTAGATGAGCTGTGAGTATCTTACATAAATGGTGTTTCATTTTTGGTAAACCTTGAGTAAACTTATCTGTAAATGATTATTTCTTTCAGTGGCAATACTGTGGGTTGCATTCTTTATGATGACTGTGCAACCAATGTCTGCATGATGGATATTAGCACCATGCAATCTCCTGTTGTGATGATTATGCAGCTTGGAAGGATTGGATTTGATGATGATGGTGATTCATCAGTACTCATTTTGGATATTCTTTTGTGTAGTTCGTCCTCAGTAACTGTTATGTTTTATACTTGCCATTTTCCTTCAGGTATGGCTGAGATTTGCAGCTCATACCATGCCACCCAGATTTCATGCAATCCAAAGTTTCCAGAAGTCAAGCATTTTATCGATAGGTATAGTGCATTGGCATGTCCCACACCAATGTTGACCATTCTCATATGTCATTTTATTCCCATAAACCATAACTTATTAATTATTGATCTGTATCATTGGAGCAGTGCTACCACATTACCCTCTCCTACTATCAGCACAATCTCTCATACTGCTACTACACAATCAAATGATCAGTCTGCAACTAGCCTGCTCCGTAACCATCCTTTGATTTTTGTTGCAGACATATGCAATCAGCCAGCTGTAAGTATTTTCAGACTTCATTATTTTTAGTAATTTCTTAACCTGTGATATGGTAGATTACTGGTTTGATCACTATAAATGTTTGATAGGATTCGTTCTTCCTCATAAAGTGCTTAGTAGTCAAAGTTGACACGAGGCATGGCTGGTGCTATGAAGGTTGCTCCAGGTGTGGCAGCAAACCAAGGAGTGTGAGTGGGAAAAAAACATGCATTAATTGCAAGAAAGGACATGTGACTTTTGAACCCAAGTACAACTTTAACTCACCTCATCTTCAGAAATCTTTTATGGGTGCGAGCTTCGCTTAATTAAGGTTAATAATGAGTACTATTTATAGGTTAAGGGTCCACTACACGGTTGAGGATTCATCTGGCAAGGCAACTGTAGTCTTCTTTGACAAACTTGCTTCTAATTTCTTCCAAAAGACTGCACTTGAGATGAATCACACTCTTATTAAGGTAATGGATTATTTCTGTTGATCATGTATAGTGTAGTCATGGCTTTGCGTCACTTAAAAATTAAAAATGTGTATTATGCTTCTTAAGGAGGAACGTGAATATGATTTTCCTGATGAGCTAGACCTAATGGTTGGAAAGACGGTGCTGTTAAAACTTAAGCTGAACAAGTATAACGTTGACTTCCCAAATTCTGGCATATCTGTTGCATCATTCACACAGTGCACTGATTTGATGGATGAATTCAATGAGGCAAGACACTATTATATTGAAGTTCCAATTTAAGGGCTTTGTTTGTTTTTCAACTTTCAATTTCAACTTACAGTTTTTTGGAAAAAAATGTTCCTGCCATGTACAGGTTAGCGATCAGAACACCCATGCTGAAGAAGAGGTACTTAGATATAAACATGTTGCTAAAGTTTTAATTCCCTAACATTTGGAGATAATGTGTTGTTTGTTTCCTCAATGTTTATAGGCCACTGACACAGTCATTCCTGAATCTGTCACTACTGACCCACTAGTATTGAATGAAGTTACTAATGTTGCCATCGACGAGAATGATGAAGACAGCCCCGGCATTGAGGAGATACCTCTGTCTAGGATAGCTGGCCCCTCAACTTACAGGCCAAAGAGGAAGGTAACTGGGAAGAGGATCATTGGAGTTAAGGAGAAATGGGTTCGTTCACCCAATGCCTCACCTATCAAGACATCGTCCAAGCCTTTAAAGAGCATCAAGCAAGAGAAGAACTGAAGAATTTTAGTGTTATTGCCATGTCTTGTCATTGTCATCTTTTGGATTAGTCCTTATGAGACCATGTCAGCTGGTTTCTGGTTTCTTCATTAGGAATGTAGGATCTTCTATATGGCTACGTAGTTGATTGTCTTTTAATTTATGCAATGTCTTTTTGTGTGTCACTTGGCTTCATGGACCTGGTGACTAAACGTATGTTATCTGTGTTATTTGAATGGCATGGCTATCTTAAGTATTAATATTGATGGTTCTATTTCAAACAAAATTCAACTGGGAATGATGCTGAGGCTTAAGCTTCAATTCTGGCTTTAATAAATACCTGTTATCAGTAGTTGGTAGTAATATGTTAAACTGAAATTCGATAATGACATATCACACATCACTTGGAGTTTAACATTTACTGTAGTTGGTGCAACAATTGACTCAGATGTGCCTAGAATAAATACAACCCCAACAATAAACAGTAATAATTAACAGAGTGGTATAAAATTGCGCCACTTGACACTTGCAATTCCTCCAATCTTGGCTGAGATTATTTTTGCCCCAAAATGAGGTTGTCCGTGTTGCATGGCCTGACATGCCTTTTTTTGTTCCCACAATTGAATAAAGCCCGATGGTTGTTTTTAATTGGCCATTCTCAAGCCCAAACCTTTAGGAATAAAAGATGCAAATGAGGTTGGCAGAGTTGCATGTGTGGATTTTGCTGCATTAGGTGTTTCTTGCAGACGTGTATTTTTTTGCTCATTTGTAGCTTTTTTTTATTGGTCATAGAATTAGCTAAAATGTAGTCAATGCTTTATATGAAATGGGCCCATGATTCTTCGAATTGATAACATATCAATGACCTTAAGTTACTATCTTAATGCAGCTCCTTAAATATTTATTACTTAAAGACATAGTTCAACCCACAAAAGTTGCTGGTTACTTTTTTTCCAGCTGTAAACATTGAGCAGTGCAATGATTTGACTGAATCCATTTATCAATGCCAATATAGCCTACACTGGTGCAGACTTATTTGCTCTACAAATAGTAGGGATTCATTGCTACCGATAGTTGGCTTGATTTTTATGATTTATTTTCTTTGTTCATTACGAATTGCATGAAGTCTTCTCTGTTAACCATTACTAAAAGTGCAGAGTAAAGTATATCCATAGCAAATCTAAATACTGCACACATGAAGAGGAAACCTTCATACATTCCACATGAGACTTTTACCTTTCTTGAGAACAGTCCACGACAAATCACCAGACCAAGAAATCATTCAGGGACCACATACGCAAATTTTCCAAAAAGGAATGCAGGTATGGTCAAAATGTCGTCTCGTGGTTATGTTCATGTACTGGGCATCCTTTGTAAATTTGTAGTGAATGATTGAATCATTGTGCTATTATAGATTGTCCAGTGTACTTAGGAAATGCTAATGGCAAACCAGAGATGTACACTCAGGAAAATGATGTTCTGCAAAGAAATACAAACCCATCGAATAGGTGCAAGCCAAGAAGACCTGCACTTAAGGACATTTCAAATGTTGCAACAAATTTGGAAACTGAATTCCAGAACTATACTAGGCCTGGTAAATCATTATCAAGTTCATAAGTTTTTTCTGCTACGATTATATCTCATGCATTCTTCTACTACTAAGGCTATCTAATTATGCTTCCTATTGTACCAGGAGAACTTGAGTTCAGGAACAGTGTAGTTAGGCGAAGAAGCAGTAGATTAGTAGCATTTGAGAATCTCAATCAACGTAATGAAGGCCTTGTACTAACAGAGGATACTGTAGGTAATAGATTATCAGCATTTTAAATATCTATCAGTGATTTCTAAATCAAAAATTATGACCATTACCATCCCTGATTTTCATTAACCTTAGGAGCTTCTGTGATATGTGTTGTCCATGCGGAAGTATAGCATTATGAAATATGCACCTATCAATTCTATCTATACAAGACTGCATATTAGATTGTTGTCTTTCTTAACAGTATTGTCACTATTACGTTACATGTTGAGCATACATGGCAAAGGTGGGAACTAAAACTGATTAATCCAAATCATGAAGAGATTTTGCATTAAGCTACAGGTTCCTAGCAGGTTCAGTTGACTTAATGGAAGGTAGCGAACAGGTTATATGAATGCATAGTTAACAGCGCACACAAGAAATAGTAATTCGAAACTATCATTTGGTTTATTTGGCCAATATATCATATCCTTATCATTTGTAAATTTGCAAAATTAATAATCCAGTGCATCACTGTGAAGAACAGATAATTATCCAGAATGGTTATCGATTCATTAGAAATTGCAGTATCGCAGAAAATGTCAAATCCTTCTTTCCAGTAGACATTACATCTGTGTTTAATATAGTATGCACCCTCTATCTATCCTTTCGTTCTAACAATTCAAATCATTGATTGTCGCCAGATATCAATTATCTTACTTCACACATACCAGAACAAATGGATGGCATGATTCCATCATGTTCAACCACAGGTTTGATTAGTTTTATTCCCCTTTTGGTTAGACATCACTTGATTATATTGGTTATTGGTTATCTCTGCAGATGTTGTTGCAGAAAATGCTGAGGCACGGTATAGGAATCTAAGCTTTTGTTTTGACGGACCTTGTGACACTGGCAGTGAAGTTAGTATAGATGAGTATGATAATGGTGAGGGTTAATAACATATTATCAATATTAAATTTGGAAATTCAGTAATCTTATTTTTCCCCTTCTCCTGAACAGTATTACTCCAAGAATAATGGGCAGAAAAAGTTTTGTTTGACATATATGCTGCGAGTTAAATAGGAACTCCTTTATGTTATTATTGAATGAAGTAAAAATATCATCCAATCAATGTTGCACTGGGACACTAAGTATGATACATGTTGGTATAAATCAACACACATGCTTTTCAGGTGACCAAACTTCAAATACTTTTACATTTATTGAACCTGACCATACATCTATGAAGGCGCACAGTGCTAAAGCTACACATAGCCAAGGTTAGACATGCTGAATTCTTTCCTAAATATTGTTTTCTGCATAGTAGCATAATACAATCGTAGGTGATCAACCTCTGAAACAATCATTGGAATGAGAAATCCTCCAATTATTGAGTTCTTATTCATGTTTTCCCATTTACATGTTTCTTCCACAAGTCACAGCATTGATGAAGTTGACTTAGAAAGCTGTCAACTAATTAGATAAATGATCTTGCTGCACATAGACATGAGTTCAATAAAAACTCCCTTATTTTATTATTGAATTAAGTATAAATATCATCCACTCAATGTTGCACTTGCACACTAGGTATAATACATGTTGGTATAAATTAACATATGTGCTTTTCAAGTGATCAAACTTCAAATGCCTTAACATTCATTGAACCTGACCATACATCTGTGAAGGCGCACAATGGTCAAGCCACACATAGCCAAGGTTAGACATGCTGAATTCTTTCTAATATATTGTGTTTTACATAGTAGCATAATATAATCATAGCTGATCAACCTCTGAAACAATCATTGGAATCAGAAATCTTCCAATTATTGAGTTCTTATTCATATTTTCCCATTTGCATGTTTCTTCCACAAGTCACAGCATTGATGAAGTTGACTTAGAAAGCTATCAACTAATCAGATAAATGATCTTGCTGTACATGGACATGAGTTCAATAAAAACTCCCTTATCTTATTATTGAATTAAGTATAAATATCATCCACTCAACGTTGCACTTGCACACTAGGTATAATACATGTTGGTATAAATTAACATATGTGCTTTTCAGGTGATCAAACTTCAAATACCTTAACATTCATTGAACCTGACCATACATCTATGAAGGCGCACAATGGTAAAGCCACACAAGGTTAGACATGCTGAATTCTTTCTGATATATTGTCTTTTACATAGTAGCATAATATAATCATAGCTGATCAACCTGTGAAACAATTATTGGAATGAGAAATTCTCCAATTATTGAGTTCTTATTCAAATTTTCCCATTTACATGTTCCTTACGCAAGTCACAGCATTGATGAAGTAGACTTAGAAAGATGTGAACTAATCAGATAAATGATCTTCCTGCACATGATCATGAAAGGTCATACTTGGCCCTCTTTAGGAAACAAGTAATTGCCAGAAATTGAGTTGAGAAGGATATGAAATTCTGAAATGTATGCGGTGTCATATATTATACCTGATTTTTTTTCTCCTTCGCATCAGTGCATGGGTTCAATTTCTGTTCATTAAGGATATGCGGTTGTTGTAGTTGCAGGATACGTTGATATAGGGGATCCTACATTTAAATGCCAAAGATGTGGTGCACTAATGTGGTTCAATGAGAAAGTTGGATCAAACAAGTATGCTAGAAACCCATCATTCTCAATGTACTGTCTTAAAGGAAAAGTTCAGCTTCCTCCTCTAGATCAGTTTGTAAGATTATTTTTTGACAAGAAGACACCATCTTCAAGAAACTTCCTCACAAATATAAGAACTTATAACAATATGTTCTCCTTTACTTCTATGGGTGGTAAAATTGATTACTCAAAGAACTCTGGTGGTGGTCCCTATTCATTTGTTTTGTCTGGCATTAACTACCATAGGATTGGAAGTTTATTACCTCCTAAAGGATCAAAGCCTGTTTACTCCCAACTGTACATATATGATACTGACAATGAAGTATGCAACTGTATATCTGCTGTAAGGTAATTTTTTGGTTAAGAAGGTTACTTCTTGCTGATTTGCATTTTTTCTTTAGTATCATTAGTTATATTAACAGATAATTCAATCTGTTCATGCAGCAAGCATATGAAAGAATCAGCCATTGATAATAATATTGTTGATCATATCAAGAAAACCCTTGATGATGCCAACCCTTTTGTAAAACAATATCGAGCAGCATCATCAATGATCAAGAATGACCAAAACACTGATGTGAAAATTTGTTTGATCAGTACAAGAAGGAAGGATGGGCGGAATTACAATTTGCCGTCTACTTCAGAGGTTGCTGCTTTAATTGTTGGTGACATTGATATGAATTTCGGTAGAAGAGATGTTATAGTTCACAAGTTGTCAGGCTTGCCACAACATATTGATGAATTGCATCCTTCCTATCTTCCACTCCAATACCCAATATTGTTTCCTAGAGGTGAGGATGGTTATCGTGACAATATAGAACATCGTGAAGAGACTCTTTCTAATACTAAGAAGAAAAAGCGGGTTAGTATTAGAGAGTATTTTGCATATAGGTTGATGATGAGGGAAAATGAGATGTCAACCATACTTCATGCAGAGAAGTTATTCCAGTAATTCATAGTTGATGGTTATACCATGATAGAAGCTCAAAGTTATTATGGGTCAGAACGCACCAGAAGGAACTTAGGGCAGATTTGTATCAGGGATTGACAGATGCGCTATTAACTGGAGAAAGAAGTGCATCGTCCACAGGGAAGCGTATAATTCTTCCATCTTCCTTCACTGGAGGGGCACGTTATATGGTTGGCAACTATAAAGATGCAATGGCTATTTGTAGATGGGCAGGTTACCCGAGTATTTTCATTACATTTACATGTAATCCAGCTTGGCAAGAGGTCACACGATTGATGGAAAATGAATCATTATCTAGTGCTAACAGGCCGGAGATATTGTGTAGGGTTTTCCATATAAAGCTTAAGGCTCTTATGGATACAATCAAGAAGAAGAAGATATTTGGTACTGTTATTGCAGGTGAGTCAAATTTTTGTTCTCTTCTTATGATAATGTCAAGATACTTTAATGATCTATTACTTATTGCTTACTCATTTATTATTCATGCAGACGTTCATACGATTGAATTCCAAAAAGAGGACTTCCACATGCACACATTTTGTTGTTCCTAGATCAACGTGATCAACCTAAATATCCGGAGGATGTGGATAGGGTAATCTCTGCAGAAATACCTAACTTGGATGAAGAACCACAGTTGTATGACTTAGTTAAGAGGTTCATGATACATGGCCCATGTGGTCGTTCAAACCCTAAGTCCCCTTGCATGAAGGATAATAAGTGCAGCAAGTATTTCCCCAAGAACTTTGTAGAACAAACTATTGTTGATGATGATGGATATCCTACATATAGGAGGAGAGATGATGGGAGGACAATTGAAGTCAAAGGCATTCCTCTGGATAACCGGTTTATTGTGCCTTATAACCCCACATTGTTATCTATGTTTGAAGCTCATATTAATGTTGAGAAGTGTAACCAGTCATCTTCAATCAAGTACTTATTCAAGTATATTAGTAAGGGAAATGATAGAGTTGTGGCATCTATTTATGAGAGCGCTGGGGACGGATCTTCAGGCCGGCCGATTGATGAGATTCAATAGTATTACAACTTTAGGTATATCTCAGCTTGTGAGGCAGCTTGGCGCATATTTGCCTTTGATATACACCACAGGTATCCGGCTATTGAAAGGTTAAGCTTCCATTTACCTAACCAACAATGTGTTGTTTATTCTAATGCTGATGATATTGAGGACCTACTTAATAAGCGCCGTGTCTGTGAGTCAATGTTCCTTACTTGGATGAAAATGAATCATGATAATGATTTAGCTAAAACTCTTACTTATTCTGAGTTTCCACAATATTTTGTCTACCAAAGAAGCAAACGATGTTGGAAAATTAGACAGAAGGGATTTGCCATAGGAAGGATTACTCATGTGTCTCCTTCATCTGGTGAACTTTACTATCTACGAATCCTCTTAACTAAGGTTAGAGGTCCTTCATCATTTGAAAAGATTAGAACAGTGGATGGTGTTGTGCATTCCACTTTTAGAGCTACGTGCTTTGCTCTTGGATTATTACACGATGATAGTGAATACATAAATGCCATTAAGGAGGCGTCAGTTTGGGCATCTGGGAGATCATTACGAAAGATGTTTGTTAGCATGCTTCTTTGTTCGTCACTAAGCCGTCCTAATTTTGTTTGGAACCAAACTTCAAAAATATTGTCTGAAGATTTATTATACATACCACACAGAGATCCTTTATCATCAAGTAAGACCTATATTCATCTCAATAATACTTGCCATATTTTCATAAAATTAGTAGGCATGAATGATTTGTTTTTGTACTAATTGTCCTTCCTTTCAATTTACATATTCTTACTTATCACTTTAGTGATATTTATGCAGGGGTACATATATCTATAAGTGAGAAGGAAGAAGCTGCCTTGAAAGAAATCGAATCATTGTTGCAAGAGAATGGGAAGACCTTGAATGACTTTCCTATGCTTCCAAAACCAGCATCATTTAGTCCACTTGATATCAGCAATCATCTCATTTTGCAAGAGCTTGGTTATGACCGAACATCCATGAAAGAAGAATCGAACACTTTGATCAACTCATTAAATTCAGAGCAGAAACATATTTTTGACTCTATCATATCCTCTTTGAATTCAAATGTTGGTTCATTCTTCTTTGTCTATGGTTATGGCGGAACAGGGAAGACATTTCTGTGGAATGCTTTGGCCTCTACTCTTCGAGCTAGAGGCGATATTGTTATTACTATTGCCTCTAGTGGCATCGCTGCCACATTATTACCATTTGGAAGGACGACACATTCCAGGTTTGCGATCCCTATACAAGTTAATGAAGACTCTGTTTGCAATATCACACAAAATTCTGCCTTAGCTAATTTGATTGTACAGACAAAGTTAATTATATAGGATGAGGCTCCCATGGTGCAACGTTATTGCATCGAAGCATTTGATCGTACATTGAGAGATATTATGCATGCTAATTTCCCATTCGGTGGGAAGTCAATTGTGATGGGTGGTGACTTCCGTCAAATACTCCCTGTCATACCTAAAGGTTCCAGAGCTGACATAGTAAATGCATGCGTGACTTCTTCATATCTTTGGGACTATTGCACCATTTTTACGTTGACGAAAAACATGCGCTTATCATCTGTTTCTTCCATTGAAGAACAAAAGGACTTGCAAAATTTCTCAAAGTGGCTTTTAGATGTAGGAGATGGTAATCTTGGTATGCCTCACGATGGCATAGCTGAAATTGAAATCCCTGATGATCTTTTAATCACTAATTATGATGATCCTGTTAGTGCCATTGTATCTGCCACTTACCCTGATCTTTTGCAGAATTTATCAAGTTTTGATTATTTCAATGACAGGGCTATCCTTGCACCCACAATTGAGGTTGTAAACCAAGTAAATGATTATATGTGTTCTCTTTTGCCTGGCGAACATGTTGAGTACTTGAGTTGTGATTCTGTTTGCAAATCATTCAACGATAATGATTGCTTTGAAGATTTGTACACGATTGACTTCTTAAACACTATCAATAGTTCTGGCATGCCATTGCATAAATTGTCCTTGAAAGTAGGAACACCGGTGATGCTGCTTAGAAACATTGACCAAGCATCAGGGCTGTGTAATGGAACTAGGTTGCGTGTAACAAAACTTGGCAAGACTGTCATTGAAGCAGTAACATTGAATGGTTCTAAACCCAACCAGAAAGTGTTGATCCATCGCATGGACATGAATCCCTCTGAAAGTCATTTGCCTTTTCGAATGACAAGGAGACAGTTCCCAATCACTTTGTCATTTGCAATGACAATAAATAAGAGTCAAGGGCAATCGTTACGTTATGTGGGATTATATCTACCGAAACTTGTATTCTCACATGGTCAGTTATACGTTGCCCTATCCAGGGTTAGGAGCATGGGTGGTCTGAAGATTCTTGTACACAATGATGTTTCTAGTGCGAGTAACTTCACTACGAATGTAGTCTTCAGGGAGGTTTTTCAAAATGTGGATCCAAGCATGCAGATTTAAAATTAATTGAGGTGGCAATCTTATTTGTGGTTCATATTCATGCTGAATTCATCATCATTTGTAAACGGTATATTTTTATTGTACATGCTTTAGCTGTCTCCTTACATGTACCGTCCATGATTGAACTCTGTTTTTCATTGTTATTGTAGCCACTACCAGCATCTCTTTGTCAACTAGCTACTTTGTGTTCATGCATTGCTGTCATAAAAATGTCCGGTAGTGACTATTTCACGTTATGCACTTTGGTAGAATTCATTTTGTTGCCAGGTTATGTCTTAGTTGCTTCTTCTAGGGAAAGAAGGATTGATTAATTTTTTTAAAACTAATAATGTTGTTTAACTTGGCAATTGCTATTGATGAATACTGTAATACAATGATATTGCGTCTTGGATTATTTATTATGGTTTGAGTGAATGGGAAGTGTTAAATGAAATATAATTCTTTTTGTGGCTACTATTTATGAGTTGAAGTTTGTATCAGGTTTGATGAAAGGGAGGAAACCGGTTCTTCAATTGGCAAGCTTGGATTCATATGTTTTTGCCAAGAATTTTGGAATGATTTGTTTAAGTGTCATTCTCTAAGCATTGGTTGTAATGGTCTTGTTAAGAGTTAAGAGGTAGAGATTTTAATGTGTTTTGAGAATTTATTTAATTGAAGTTAATTAGTCCCGCGCAATGCGCGGGGGAGAGATGCTAGTTACTTTAATACCTGTTGTATAAAAGGAGCTAAGCTGATCTCATGTTCTAACCGGCTCCTCTCACAAGTCACTGTTCATATGAACAGTACGGCTCCCATCACAAAATGAGGGATTGCATGTTGGGCTTTGTGCATGCTCTTGACATCCTCGGCTGGAAATCAGGGAGAATGGTAATGGAAGATTCAAATTTCAAATTTTGGAATTCCCTCCACCCTCATTTTTTCACCATCCCTTCCGTCCTTCCTTTCCTGTCTACCATTTTTCTTTTTCCTTGCCCCAAGCATTCCTCCTATTTCTCTTTGTTTTTCTGTTTTCGCATCTCTATTAAGCTGACTGTCGGTCATGAGTTTTTTATTTTTTCTGATCAATCTCACCTCCAATATCATTGCTGGTGGTTTAAAGGTAAGATTTCTTCGTGTTCCTCTTCGTTTTTCTCATGCTTTTTTCCCCAATTTTATTCATCACTTAATCTATTTTATACTTCATTATTGTCTCTTTTTTTTTTTTTTGACTTTTGGGACATTCAAGTCATCCATTTGAACAGATCAAATACAAACAGCAAGTCACAGGAGAGGTCACTGGCAAACAGTATCCTCGATCATTCTTTGTTCTCTACTCTTTCTCTTTCTTTCTCTTCCAAAGGCATGGAGTATCAGAGGTTTGGCTGTATTTAATGGAATGGTCTGTCAGACACACAACATTTGATTCTTGAGGACAAATGCTAATCCATTATCAGTTCATATTTTGTAGGTGTTTTGTTTATATTGTTGTGAAATGCTAATTTATTTTCTCAAGAGTTCTTCTCACTAATATATTTACTCTTTATTCATCGACAGGTTTAGCGGGTCCTCTTCTTTGAAGCAGCATAGTGTGCAGTCAACTCATTCAGAGAGTCCTATTGGCTATGATTTAAGATTCTTATTTATCTGTTTCTTTTTTAATTTTTCTTCCACAATCGCTTGGTTTTTCATTTACAGGTGAAATGATAGAGTTTGTCATCTAAAGCCTGAGAGAAGAATTTGAGTAGGAGTACGCGTGGGTACCTTCTCTTTACATGTTATTTCTTTTTTAACTTAAACGTGCGTATTGCTCTGGATGCGTACGTTTTTTTGTTGTTCTTTCTAATGTTGTGAAATTTTTTCTATGTTCTGGATGTGAAAGTCACTCTTTACTCTGCAAGAGCAATAGGGTGATCAGCTATGGTCATTGGATTAGGTGAAACAATGCTGACTGTGGTTGTTGTTGCTACCAAAGTGTACTTTGAGCAATGGTTTGATTTTGAATATGGGAACTGAAAGATTCCGTCCAAGTTTCAACTTTGATTTTTGCTCCTTCATAATAGTTTAACCTTGATAATAGTGGTTGCACTTTCACGCTTGTATATGCAGATCACCTTTTACCGCTTGCATGATGTGCTCAAAGTTTTGTTTAAATGACCGTATATATGGTTACTTTTTGGATTCTTTTAGTTGGTTATTATTTTTCTGTTTCATTCAGATTTATATTTGTATATTATGAAATCAAGATTATATTTTTTGGTGATTTATTCTTGGTTACGTGTGCGGTAGTTGGTAATTTTTAGCTTTCTAACCCCACTTTAAGAAAATATTAGCTACCATGCACGTATTCTGCAGCTTTTTTCACACTGTTGGTGCACTTGTTATCATACAGTTGGTTCACAGAAAGAAATTAACTTAAACATGTTAAGTGATATGATTTGCATAAAAGCGGAGGCAGGAGCAGCTTTTGAAAAAATGTAACCTGTCATTCATAAGCCAAAAGAACCAGTACATAACCCCACTTTAAGAAAATTTTAGCTACCACGCATGCATTCTGCAGCTTTTCACACTGTTGGTGCACTTGTTATCATACAGTTGGTTCACAGAAAGAAATTTCACTCAACATGTTAAGTGATATGATTTGCATAGAAGCGGAGGCAGGAGCAGCTTTTAAAAAAATGTGACCTGTCATTCATAAGGGAAAAGAACCAGCACATAACTTTTATCACCTAGGATGGTAGCTGAACATGTATCCTGTTTTCCGGCATCTTGAAGTATTGTAAACTTGAACTGTGATATGGTTTGCAGATTGGCCGTATTTCCAGTCCATTTTTTCTTGCTAAAATTGTTGGATTATTTGTTGTATTGATTTCTAAAACTAACATTTTCCAGTTCCTAACTTTTTTAATTATAGAGATAGCTGTCAGATTGTAGATTTTTTTGCAGAACATCCTTATTATTGGTTGGGAATTCAACTGTTACAACAGACCAATTCCATGATTGCATGTTATTCACACATACTTTTTCGGTTTCAGTTTCTTTAAGGTTCAGCTAATCTGTAATCATGCCTTCTTTTGAGATGAAATGTTTATCAGGAGTCCCCCGGGTGAACAGTAAAATGATTTTCGTCTATTACTGGTCACAAGTCATAAGGAGGTCACAAATTTCAGTCGGTTATCAAGCTTCCACATATCCCGTTTTTAGTTTCTGCATGTTGCTTTTACTGTCCGAAATATGCATAAGACGCACTTAATGCGCAGCAACCAACTTAGAATTTCATGAATATGCTGTCTGACATTGTTTAAAAATATATCAAATATTAATCTAACTCTTTTACTCTATGAACGTAGGTAGTAAAACGTGTACTTGCACAAAATTATTATTTCAATGAAGAGAAAATTGTGAAGCTAGTAGCAAAGAATAATGAATGCGGGAATTCTATATCATCTTAACCGGAGTTATCATTTGGTGGAACGTCTATTTAAAAAATAAATATCTTTTAATTCCATTTATCAATAATCTTATATTTTAATAAGATGTCATCTTAGAAAACATTTCAAAAGAAACTGTGCCAGTTATTACGAGTTATGTTTTTCTTTTGGTAGAAGATCACTCTTATTTGCAATGATTATTAACAAATAACAAAAGTCAAGAGTAATTATTACTTCATGTGAGTTTATATCTATTAAAATATGTTTTTGCAAATGACTAATTATATATTTCTATTTTGAGGATGAAAAGTATTGAAGGATTGAAGATCTATTTTCATGATGATGAGAATGGATATATGTAAGAAAAACTACAATTTTATTTATAGAGATGTGTTTCAAAATTGGCACACATCAAGTTAATTGAGAATACTGCATTTAAAACACAAGTCGCTATATTTAGAGCAACTAATATTGTGTATAAAAAGGTCTTTCAAAATTTGCATACATGAGTTTGTTCTTTTGTTTAATCTATGTGATTCTTATATGCACTACTTTTTATAATCTTTTCTTTTCTTTTATGTTCTATTGAATCGAATCATTTCTTGTTGGTGAAAATTGAAAAATTGTAAAGGAGAATTGCTATAAAGTTTTAATTAACATAATTATTAAGAAGTTTTAACAACAATAGAATATCTTATAATAACAAATTTTAGAACAGTGCATAACAATTTCTTATTTGTTTTAAAACCTTTTTGTAGTTTTCTTTTTTGGGTTCTTGGTAATTCTCTCAAGTTATTATAACAATGTTGTTGATTGATATTTGATGCTTTAATCTAAGTCACTATAATGTATGCATCCCGCGCAATGTGCAGGAGAGTAAATGCTAGTTTCAAGATATACGAAATGGCTAGAACAACTGAGAGAATAACAAGTCATTGCCCTCACTAATGCTGAAACATAACAATATGCCACGTTGATTACTATTATTATTTAAATATTAATTTTTAAGGGTTATATGTATCAATATTTTTATATATTTTATTAAATTATATTATTTTAAACATGATCGTTTTGGTCCTTAATTCAACTACAATTAGACTACTAACCCTTAAATTATTGTGTATTGATCCATCCACTGTTCAACGACCGATCTAATTTTTAATATCTTATTTACTTTTTAGTACTATTACTGTCATTTGGTAGCCAAGCTAGACCATGTCGAATTACTCAAAAATTTCATAATTATAAAAATAAAAGAATTAAATTTAAATAAATTTGCCGAAATATGCGGGGTTCTAAGACTAGACTTTTCTTGAGTCCATAAAAAAGGTTACTTTTATATATTGCCCTCAGTCCTAATTATAAGAGCTAGTTAATTAATTTAGGAAGATTAAAAAAATAAATTAAATTAGTTATTTGTAATAAATAAGTATTATTTTTCCTAAAATATCCTTGCTAAGTAAGTGTATTAGCTAAAATTACCATTATTAGAAGGACTGTCTTTAAAAAAAATAAATAAATATTAGAGACAGTGGATTTGGGTCATATATTTATAATCAAAATAAAAATTAAATAAGGTCTTATATTAAAGAC